AGCACCGGATGGTATGTGAGGATGGCACAACGGAAGTGTCAAACAGCAGCTGATCCAAGATACGGGTCCTCTCTGTAACAGGCTGTAAATAATTCATGTACATCACTTACACTTCATTTACATATAACATCGTTGTTGACAAGGTCCGCGAATGCTTTGATATTTTCGTGGCAGGTTGCGAAATAATGTTGCAGTGGAACCCTATTCTCCGGAAACTTCCGCCATTTTACAAATCTATGAATACACTGAATATATCTGTATCTTGGTGGGCTGGTGTTAGACTTTTTTGAGGGCTATGTTTATATCTGTTTCTGCCATGAGTTATCGTCCCTGCCCCCGTCCCTGGGGAATGTCTTACAACAATATCAGTATCAGGTGTGACCACCATTTGCGTTGATACAGGCGAGGCAGCGGCGGCGCATTGAAGACACCACATGAGCCCGTGGGATGTTCTTCCAAATATCAACCAAAGATTGGAAAAACTGAATAGCATTACCGGCTGGTTCTGGTCCTGTCGTAGGCGTCTCATCCCAGCCATGTTCTACAGGGAAGGGGCCTAGAGAAACAATCAACAATCTTATGTCGCCTTAAAACGTCTGTTTGGCAGTCCATATTTTTTATGTTTTCTTTCATCTCCAGCCTCAATCAGCAAGAGGTCGGGCGAGCGAAATAACATGTAAAACAAATAATAGCAACATTAGCATAAACTAATTTTCTAATTGTGTAACTTATTTCTTGACATTTTAAAGTTGTTATTTGTTACAAGTCTTCAAATTAATTTATCACTTTGATCTAGTCGCTTTGCTTCGGAAGCGAATTTTTGATAAACATAGCTGAAGAAAGATCAAGCTCGCCAGGGTTTTTGTGCAATGGTAGTATTATTTATTTGTATTTTTGTTATCACATCGTACCATAGTTTTACACTGTGGCGAGGAAAACATTTTATTATTTCACGTCAGAATGAATATCGGGTCTGGCGGGAGACGGGAAAATTCGGACGGCCGTACAACACGTTGGCGGGTATTGTACTATCCTGCTGCAGCAAAGGATAGAACATGATCTCGAAAATGTTGCCCTGTAGCCTGTACCATTTTACTTGCCATTAACAATGATGAGGTATGTTCTCCCTTGAGCTGTGGTGCCACCCCATACCATTACACTTCCACCTCCACATTGACGACGTTGAGTAACGCAAGCGTCGCTAAAACGTTCTCCTGGACGCCGGCCAACCGATGCACGACAGTCAGAGCCGTCAAGATGATACATGGACTGATCTTTGAACAGTATACTGTCGCAGTCTTGTCATCTCAACCTCAGGATTAAGCTAAGTCTGTTAGGACTGGTCCTTTACCACAAAAGGTAAATCTCATTTACTCATATACAAGCCATCTCTTATCCACTGTGTAACAACTGAGGTACCTGCAACTGCGGCATCTGACAACTTGAGTAGCTGACTAATGGGGTATCTGACGAACGGCGTAGCTGACAACCGGGTTTATCTGACGATATGGGCTATGACCGAAAAGTGAGTGAGGAAGTTAGTTTGGTATTATGCCGCTGTTGGCAATATTCCAGCAATATCACGGCAACCAGCGTCTTCGGCGTGACGAGCGAACGGTTTAACCACTAGGCTACCCGACCGCCCCAATACACAAAGATTAGAATATGCTGGTACATAATGATTGGTAACACCTCAGTTTCAAAACGAATGGACAGAGGCATGCGGTCATGGGCACGATATGCACGAGGTGCTTGTAAACATGACTGTGTTTGGATGTATGGTGACAAATGTTGCACATCAATATCAGAGAGCACAGTAACACTTGCTACTGAGGACAGCAAGAGTTGAATGCACGTGTGCCCCCTCAATGACCGAATATTTAAGCAGATGAAACTTGGCATACTTTAAACTTGGTCAACAAACGTCACGTTGCAAACGTCTTTTGCTTCATCCAAAGTGTAATCAGGAAATGGAATCAATACCAGACGTTGGAATCAGCCATCCAGCGACATGCACGTGGTTGACAGCGCCCCACCAGATAGAGGGAAGACGGGTTTCTCCTGATTGGAGCAAAACGTCATCACTTCGTGACTGCCACCACACTCAGAAACGACCTGTGGAACGCATGTGACGTTAACGTTCCTACTCAGAGAGTGCATAGTCGTCTCCGTAAGGCTGATCACGAAGGGCATGCATTCGAATCCCAATGACCCGTAGGCAGACACGTTTTGATTGTGCTGAAGATTACGTCAGTTGGATAGACCAGGACTGGGTTCCAGTACATTTCACTGAAGAATCGAGCTAGTGTCATACTTCACAGATCGTCGTGTCCGAGTGTGGCGTAGACAAGCAGATTTCAGAACTCCAACGTAGCCGAACATAGCCGCTTCGGGGGTGGCTCAATCATAATTTCTGGGTAGCAGATCTGGTCTCCTTGTCCTACAGCGCCGAACGATGACAGGTGCGTTCTACAGGGACCACATTAGGGTTGTGTTCGTGAGACCCTATGCTGGTGCAATCGGATCGGACTTCCTCATGGACGATAACGTACGGCCTCATCGAGCCAGGGTCGTTGATGTCTACATAGAGCAGGAGAGGAGACTATTGTCTGCATGGAGTCTGGCCACCAGAACTAACATGTGGAACTAAATGCATACCCCATCCCCACCCTCCACCCCCTCCCTCCGGCAACTCTATAGGAACTCGGCAGTGCTGTTACTAAAGAGTGGAACAATATAGTATTTTTCGGGGTGGGAGTATGTCTCTAAACTTCAGGAATTCTTTTTTTATGCTTTTCTGCTTCACTAAACATTTGCTCGACATGAACAGGAGGTCAAGATGACACAAGTCTTAAGTGTCATCTCGAACTCCTGTTCATGTAATTATATGCAGAGGAGTAAAATTGTATTTTTTGCGTTAAAGATGATTGTGTGCGTGCGTGCGTGCGTGCGTGCGTGCGTACGTGTGTGGTCATTGTTCTTGTACAGAGTATTGCTAGTCCACTGAAATACCATGCCGCATTCAAACATGAATACCCAGACACAGTATACCAACTCTGAACAGATCAGTCTTTGTTTTATTCCTTTATTGCCGAGCGGCAGACAGGATAACAACAAGTAACATCTTTTGGTATGACGAGGGCGGGCATCGAACCGCCACCCCCTGTTTCTGGACAGAGCTCTATTCAGCAGACCACGAGGGCGGTCATAATATGAAATATTCCCTTACATTATCCAAAAGAAAAAGCCATTTCATTAGCACATCACATAGACATATTTCTTTCGAACATTTTGAAGTTTGAATTAAATTATGAGTGAGTGAAGGTTTTCACTGTTTTTGCCAATATTCCAGTTATATCATGGAAGGCGCACCAAGAACTGTTTTGTTCATGTTGGTAACTGTGAACAATGTTATGTCGCGGGTGATCCATTCGTCTAAGGCGCCGCAATACTCTTTGCAGAGTTGCATCCCTTGTGCACGTCAGAAACCTATGATTGTGGGTTCGAGTCACGGATCACCCAAATAATATTTTTAGGTTTTTCAGCACCACACCCTTACTCATGGCTAAATGTCTGATACCTGCATCACCTGCATCAGCTCGGATTTTCCTCTCACATCAAGCTGACACGCCGTGATATAACAGGAATACTGTTTAAAGCGGCGTCAAATCCAACCCACTCACTCACTCAGTCATAAAGGATTTCTTTTATGTCCCTGTACGTGTTCATAGTTAAGTAACGTCAAATAAATTTATGCGTTTGATCGAGTGTGAGTGAGTTGGTTTGCCTTCGTGTCAACGCATCGTGCCTCTGTACTCTTGCCTTCATTAAGTTATGTAGGATCGAGGATGAGGATGGAACAAGATCACTTGACGATACGAAGATACGAAATGACAGCAATCAGCGATCCAAACGTGAACATGAGTGTTAGAATACGTCTTTAACTTGCCGTATAAAGACGACTATGCTTGTTGTGAGAGGACTAACGGAATCGGGTGGTCAGGCTCGCTGACTAGGTTGATGCATGTCATCGTATCCCAATTGCGTGGATCGTTGTTCATGATATCAATCACTGGATTGTCTGGTCCTGATTTGATTATTTAGAGACCGCCGTCGTGTAGCTGGAATATTGTTGAACGTAATCATCCACCATGTATAAAAGAGGAAGGGCCATACCCAGAAAGCCCAACCTTCATGTGAATGTTTATGACAATCAATACCTTCCACGGTGGATATCGTGCGAATACAGTAAACATGTGTCACTTTATTTATTACATCCCGATGGACCAAATAAATGTTCCATTTCTTTGTCACAAAAATGATAAAAGTTTGCAATTTGTTTCAACATTTTAAAGTGTCACAGTACTTTATCTGCAAGCGTGAAATATAGACAGATTTGTTTCATACGCTTTTTGCACAAATTGAGGACAAATATACAAAAAGTAACTGATTTCCATCAATTTTAATCTCTTAAACTCATTGATGAATGTTAAACAAATAAGATAAAATAAAATGACAAATAAGCTAGTGATATCCCATGTGGCATGGCGGCAGGAAGCGAATACTTATTTATCTCATATACTTGTCTGTTCCGAAAATGTGTCATTTGTTATTTTCCTGCCTAGGCTTGTTATTTCTAAATAAGTGAACTTCGTCGATCTGTCGTGTTTCCAGATTGAATTGAAGACACGGAACATGTGTAAAAATATTTTTATGAAGACATGCAGACTCGTTTGCTCTTTTTAATGGTGAGCTGACCTCCAGTACAGTAGCTCTGATTGACCAACTGGTATGTCCTCTGTATCACAAAGATCGCCTCCGTGGTTCGATCCGGGGTTTGATCCCCAGCCGCGTCATACCAAAAGACGTTAAAAGATGGTACTTGTTGTTACCCTGTCTGACGCTCGGCATAAAACAAAGACTGGTCGGCTCGGAGTCAGTATACTGTGTCTGAGTGGGGTATTCATGTTAAACTGCGGTAGGTATCTAGTACAGGCAGCCACACACACACACACACACATACACGTGCATGCACGTCGCTATATAAGTGCATAATCTTGGACGCGACGTTAAACCCCATTTCACCTCACCACCTCTGTATCACAGTTTGCCATTCTTCCTTTGGCCAGACCCCGTTCTTCTGCACGTTACCCGCGCTTCCCTTCCAGTCCCACTGCTTCACTGAAGTGTTCCAGTTCTTGCCATAGGCGGCAGTGATGTAGGGCAGAGTAGGACAGGGGATGCGCAGTCGGCAACCCATGAAGTCAGTCCAGCAAGTGTCAAACTTTGGAAGAATGTATCTGGAATAATAGTCATGCTTATATCCTTCTACCTGAGTGATATTATTAGAAGTATAACGTATTTAAATACTATCAACATTAATTACCAGCAGAACGGACTAAAGACCACCAGCAACCAAAGCAGGGCCGCCCAATAGGCATGAGGCCCCAGTAGCATGCAGTGATGAGCATCATGTGTGAGTAAGTGAGGTAAAAAGGTCAACATGACATCAGCCTCATCTCAGCCATAAGTGTTGCCTGCAAACTGTCATCTTTCAGAGTGAGTGAGTATGGTTTTCGACGCTTTTAGCAATGTTCCAGCAATATCACGGCGGGGGACACGAGAAATGGGCTTCACACATTGTACCCATGTCGGGAATCGAACATATGTCTTCGGCGTGACAAGCGAACGCTTTAACCATTAGGCTACCCGACCGCCCCCGTAATGTTTAAGAAGCTACAAATGAAGGCCAGTGAACCACTGAGCAAAACGTCTTGTATACATACATATAATTGGAAGTGATTCCATGGCATTTGATTGGTTAACCAAGCATTGTTTGTGCTTTATGTATTCATAAACCTGAAAAATAGGCCACGCCCACTAGAAGACTACTGTTTCATGAGTGGCTGATAATAGAGTGGGTGGGGCTTGTGCTGCATATTATATTTATATTATTATTTTGTGTTCATGTATGGACACAAACCCAGATGTGCACACGCAGATTAACACAGTACAATACACAAGGAAAATATACTGAAGTCAGTTTTTAAATAGTTAGGCTAGAAGCTATGAAACACGTTTTGAAAAAGCACAAATGGAATTATGCAGGATGGGGTAGGAGATTCGTATTTTTAACACTCACTTATACTTCTGGCCATTGAGGGCGTCGGTTGCTCCTAGCCATAGATAGGTCTTCTCCTCATACACGAAGCACACATCGATCTTGATGCCATGAGCTTTAAAAGCCATTTCGAAACTATCAGAAATCTACAATGGAGTGAGAAAAGAATCTACTACTTGCACGGATATTTCAAACGTTAACATTCCTTACTAATTGAATAATATTTTACTTATATTACGTAAATCTGTAAATTTGTACCTGACTTTACCTTTTTTCATGCACCACAATAATTCAAATGTATGCATTGTATATGGGCCAGTGGTCTTGGTACAAATTAAAGACTTCTTTTTCGTCTTCTCCTTCTTCAAGTCGTGCCTGGCCATAATGTTTATAGAGCTTTAGCATCCAGTACAAATGAGGAATAGATATGTCGTCAGATTTTAGCATCAAGGAAAAAATTGAAAATAATGATGCTTGAGTTTGGCAGATTTCTTCCTCAGTTAACACCCTGACTTCATAACTGGCATTTTTCATGTCAATCGTACCAAGTTCTTTGATCAAACAATTAATATAGTGATGCTACATACAATGGTTATGTTTTTGAGGCCTTGTCAGTGGGAAGAACTACACACATTTAATGTAGGGCGGCTAGATTTTGTATGACAGCTGGCTTAGACAGAATTGGTTTATTCACAGTTCAGAGATTCCGTATTGTCAACATGTTTTTTATTTGTTTATTTCCACTTTGGATGGCGGTGTTTGGACGTTCCTCTCCCGTGTATTGTGTTAAAAAGTGTTGAAATCCGAATACCATAACATACCCTGAAGAAAGAGTTGAAATCTGAAAACCGTAACATACCCAGGAGTAAGAGTTGAAATCCGAATACCTTAAAATACCTTAACAAAATTGAGACCGGAATACCTTAAACTACCATAAAGAAGAGTTGAAACCTAGATACCATAAAATAGCGTAAAATAGAGTTGAAATCCAAATACACTAAATTACTGTAAAGAAGAGTTGAAACCCGAATACCACAAAGAAGAGTTGAAACCCGAATACTATATAATACTGCAGAGAAGAGATGAAAATCGAATGCCGTGTAGAAGAGCTATAAGTTGAATATATCAAAATACCATTTAGAAGAGTCAGAAATGGAATACCAAAATACATTATCATAAAGAGGAAATGTAACCCAAATACCGTAAAATACCACAAAGAATACTTAAATACTCAAATATGGTAAAGAAGAGTTAAAAACCAAACACCATAAAATAGCGTAAAGAAAGAGTTGAAACGCGAACACCGTAATTAAAGCAACAAAACCCTTTCCCTATCCAATAGAATTGTATAATCGATACCATGAGGATGTGTTTATGAATCGCTATCAAATAGTTATGATACTAGGTATTCCCGAAATGGGGAGCGTATCCTGCCCCACCGCTGGCACCCATCACAAACACATGCAAAGGCACCGTAAGGATGAGTTTAACCCCGAACACCGTAAAATACCGTAAAAAAAGAGTTAAAATCCGAATGCCGTAAAATAAGGCAAAGAACAGGTTGAAACCATAATACCATAAAATACAGTAAAGAACAGAAGAGTTAAAAAAAGAACATACAGGCTCACCTTCCCCTTGACATGCAGGAGTTGAAATCCGGCTTCCAAAAACGCCGGCACGATGCCTGTACTGTAGCGCTGAATGGGAATCTCTATGTCTATATCACCGGCATAGGGAATGAAACCACACTGTCGATACCAACCTGATAAACACAATGTTTGGAGTATGTATTTTGGCACAATGTCAACGTCCGGTTCACTGTCAATCTACGCCGTGATATAACTGGAATACTGTTAAAAGCGGCGTTAAACCCAACTCACTCACTCACTCACTGTCAATCTCTTATGCATAACGGAGGTCCAGTAAAATACAAGTTGTTATATCAGATTGGTGCTGTTTTAACTGACTAGCTTTTTGGAAAGGAAAGGAAAAACATAAATCTGTGTATTAGAAATTTAGCTTAAAACTCATTATTTGTATGTTTCTTATAAGTGTAGCCTGGTCACATCTTGATTATATATATGAAATAAACTGCCGATCAAAAGAAAGTATATACTGTTATATTGCTGTTGTTTCTTGCTTAACGCCGCACTCAGCAATATTCCAGCTATATGACGGCGGTCTGTAAATAATCGAGTCTGGACAAGACAATCCAGTGATTGATATCACATTATCGATCCACGTAATGTTAGATTGTGAATAGGTTTCAAACCTTAAGTAAGGCAAACTGAAGTCAGGCTGAAAACGTTTGTACAAAGACACTCAACATATTTTGATTGTTTAAAGTATTTTTTTATGATAGCGCGAGATGAAATATGCATACAGGTGGATCCGAAAAGGAGGGACAGGCCACAGTGCCGTTAACCACGTGTGACCGTACAGTGTAAGGTGTGGCGATTGGTCAACCGCTTCCTGACGGTGACATCATTGGCGTTGACGTGACTGGGACGCCGCACAATAAAACACAAATATCAAGGCGATGACTTGCAGCAAGAAACCTGTCAACATCTGCATAATAAACGTCAGTGGTCTCGAACTCTGTTCTTCGAGGGGTCCTTCCATGTGTCAGTGGGACACGGGTGGCCTAGCCGTCTGAGGCGAAGCGATTTGCGGAGTTGCGTCCCTTGGGCTCGCCAGAAACCTATGATTGTGGGTTCGAATCCCGGTTCGCCCCTACTATATTTTTAGCTTTGTCAGCTCCATACCAGTACTCGTGGGTTTCACCGAAGTGGTAAACGTCTGAAACCTGCATCACTTCGGGCTTTCCTCCCACATTAAGTTGACACGCCGTGTTATAAGTGGAATACTGATAAAAGCGGCGTTTAACCCAACCCACTCACTTACTCACTCCCTGTGTCAGAAGATAACCACGTGCGATAATGTTTCAAAATTACAATACCAGACCCACACTGCTCGAATAATCCAGGGCTTTCTTAATATAAATAATGTACCCTAGTGACGCTGGCTGTCACGTTCATCAGACCTCTCACCTTTAGAATACATTTGGGATCATTTTGGGAGACAGATAAACCAAGGTCCACAGTTGGAACGTTCGTTATTGGAGGAGTGCAATCGCGTTTCCAATGACGCCATCGGGCGGCTTACATTATCCATAAAGCTTAGTGCCAAGGGCCCCGTTCCACAAACGATCTTAGCGCTGAGACTGCCGTAAGTCTATGTTAAAGTATGGGAGCTCCGATCGCTTTGTGGAACGGGGCCCAGGCCTGTCTGACCACCGGAGAATGTCACACAAGATATTGAAACTTTTATCGAGTTCCTATGGAAGCATCCAGAAGCTTTCTTATTAGACTTTCATCTGTATAGCTGTATATTTTGGTGAAAGTGACCCGAACCGAGTGTTTGATTTGTTTGTTTGCACACACACACACACACACACACACATACACACACACACACACACACACACACACACACACACACACACACACACACACGACGGGACCTTTAATGATGGTTGGTGACGTAACATAATGCCATATAGATGCTCTCACCAAAACAAGTGCCAAAACTTAGCCAGAAAGGAACGCCAAGAGGATCCAGAACCCTCTTCGCTTGGTACAGGACCTCTGCCCCATGTAATGTTAGTAGATTTCTTTCTGCAGGGTTTTTACTGAGATATGTCTGCGCCCCTTGATAGTCACACTCAATGAACTTGGACCTCGGCATCTGGGCCAGGAACTCCCCTACTGGGTGCGGGAGGTAGAGCCATATGCCGTCCACCGTCGTCAGTCGGACATCGAATCTAGTTATGATTTAAATATATTTAATTCACAAGGAAAAGGATTAGGCACAAGTTTTCACAACTTAGATAACCCTTTCCCAAAATAGTTACATAATAGTTTCTATAACAAAACTTTAATATGAAAAAAAGACAGCAAGGATCAGAAGAAAACATACAGTATTCGACGTAATAAGCGCCCGGGGCACTCTTAAAATTAGCAATAGGGGGCTCTCGTTAGAATATAATTTTGGTGAGAAAAAAAACAGAGTTGAAAGATCGTAAATTTCGTGATTTATGCTGACAGCCTGAAGTGATACAAAAGAAAATTCTGGGCGTATCATACACGACAGATATATTTTCGAGAATTTAATTGCCCATAATTAAGGGTGCATATAACACAGGAGTCCGTAATATACGCGAATAAATAAGTCTTGGGTACATTGATCAATCGGAAGGGGTGCAAGTTGGGATTGTTCACTAGCCAATATATTAGCAAATATTGCCGCAGGCGCTTATTAGAGCGGGGCGCTTATTACGTCGAATACGGTAGTTTCTGTCCTACCTGATGAAGGAGTAAGTATAAACTCCCAAACGTTGTGTTCCTCATAATAAGGATGTTGACATCCATAAATTCCCTTCCTTATGTGTATCACTTCTAAATGCCAGTGTAGGGCTTTAATTCTGCCTCTCCATTGGATGACAATAAATATTAAATGTTTCAGGGCATTATTTTCATGAGATATTCAACGACAAATAAATCGCAAATGCCAAACATTATAAAGATAAATGTTAGTACATGTGTTGTTTACAAATCAGTCAAACAACCCTCATGTGCAATGTCTTCCCCTTCATGTTGAGCACAATTCCCAAAGCAAAATAAATCTTCCTCTCGGGCGATATACGCCGTGACACGGTTCAAAGCGGCGTTAAACCCAACTCACACACTCACTCAAAATGTAATACTTGATTTTGAAATTTGTTTGTAGCACGAGTCATACTATAAATACAACACATGAGTTGACTGTTGCAATGTGCCCATGTAGTAAAAGACACGTCTTGTACCTGTCATATGCTCCTGCGCTGTTTCCAAACGTAGTGTTGAATCCGTGAAAGATCTGACTGTTCGAGGTAGTCGAGGGTTCAAGCGAACTGTGCCACCAGTAGTTGTCGTCCCGTTCGTAGAATACCACCAGATGCAGAGGAAGGCTTCCCGACTGGCGGATGAGGTAATGTGTAGGAACACTGGAGACAGTGATCCACTCCAAGGACAACAGGCGGGGATCAGGAGCGGTCACTTCATTCAGTACAATATCAAGGTCAATGAATTCTAGAAGGAGAGATTCCTGTGACGAAAAATATATCTTCAGCCTAAAATGTTTAGCTTGATGAGCGATACATACATGTAATTGCTTCTTAAAATAGCAATCTATACGATTAGCCCTGCATCATGATGGGAGATTTATATTGGCATAACCCTCTATTGGGTTTGGTTTGGTTTGGTTTGGTTGACGCCGCACTCAGCAATAATCCAGCTATATGACGGCGGTCTGTAAATAATCGTGTCTTGACCAGACAATCCAGTGATTGTCTGGTTCAGATTCTATTATTAAGAGACCGCCGTCAAAGCGCTGGAATATTGCGTTAAACAATCAACCAAGCAACCTACCCTATTATCCTCAAAACTGTAAAACCGGATGATAACCCCCTTGATCACGGTGGAATTTTACAAAGGCGAATTTGTCCGTGTACGAAATCGTATGTGCTGAAAAATTAAAACCTGACAATTTCAGAAATGTATCAGATCCCATACAGTTGTTTTAGGCTTAACTGAATGAAATTACCGACCTCACAATTCCTAAGTCCTCTGCAAATCCTTCTATTCGTAAACCATGGTTTAATAATGAATATAAACAATCAAGGACTTAGATGAAGTTAAGATTACTACTAGTGCCAAGGCACGACGTTTTATCAACACAATAAATGGCTTTCTTGCAGGAACTATGTCTCCAAAATTGATTTACACACAACTACGTCCAAGATGTGGAACATGGTTGAAAAATTAAAAAAACAAGGTTAAAAAACATATGTACACCATCCTAAGGAAGGGGACAACTGATAAATCTGACAATGCAAATAAATTTGGCAAAACCTTAGCCAAATATTCTTCATCATCAAATTACGTCCCTGAGTTTGAGAGATATCAGAAACAGTAGGAAAATAATAAAAAAGTTAGTCTTGATTCAAACGGTGGAGATTGAAGTGAAGTATCTTCATTACATGAGCTACAAATAGTACAAAACTGATCATTGTATGATTAGAATCCTTTGTTAAACTGCTGTAGTAAATGTATCAATATAAATTTTCTTTGATCTTGCGAAAGTATGCTATATTACCTGGAAGCATGGCAATTTAAAGGATTTTATATTATTGTGGTCGTTTACGTCATCTTATGTCACAGTTTTGCAGATAGGCAATTACAAGTCCGAGAGGGTTCAACCTTGTCTGGCCATTATTATCAGTATCAGAGCGTCCAACAATTCTGTCTGTCAGATTGTTTAATATTAAAATGTTTAGTCTTTCAAAGGTGTTTACTGATTCAGTAGATGGATCACTGTTCTTGGATGATCTTAATATTTCTTGTCGTGGTAAAAAATATATGCATACAATAGAGAGGCAGTTACAAATCTGTCTAAAATTCACAAGTGGTTTCTTTAGAAACAGATTTTCGAAATAGAAAAATAATTGTATACAATCCTGCAGACAATGTAAGCCACATAAGGACCCTGAACTATTTTCCAATGACACCCCTATCAAAGTTGTAAAGGAGGCCAAGTTATTGGAACCTATTTTTGACAGCCATTTAACTTCCTTATATAAAATACCTTAAAGCAAATGCCTGAAGGTGATTTGTTGAAAGAAGTTTCTAATTCAGAGTGGGTAAGGGATCAGAAAACACTCTTACATAAGGAAGAGAATATATTAATGTCAACTACTTTATTATGTTCCTCATAATAACGAAGTTGACATCCATATAATTCTCTTCCTTATGTATATCACTACTAAATGCCTTTCAAAGACCCTAACCCTCTTACACTTGTACAGGTCACTGATTCGTTCAAATCTTGATTACGGCTCCATCGTCTATAGTGGAGCTTGTAAAAGTAATTTACAAAAAACTAGATACTCTTCATCATCAAGGCCTTAGGCTTTGCTTTGGAACCTTTAGAACTTCTCCCATTCATAGGCAGCGGGGGAACTACCCATTGACCAACGCCGTCTGAAGTTATCTTTACAATACATCACTAAATTATTTTTAAACCAAATTATATCCAGCTTTTGAGTATTTAATCGTCTTTACGAAGATATTTACAATAAGAAATCATCTCTTATCCCACCACTCGGAATCAGAATAAAAAAGACATTTCATTTGCGCATGTTAACCTTCAAGATATAGCCCCCATTCAGCTTTTATCATCGCCTCCTTGGCCATTTAGTAGAGTCAAAAGGAGGTTTGACATTAACCAAACTTAAACAAATTAGAAACAAACCGACTAATTTATCAACAAGAATACAATCAATTAAGAAACACATGTGACACTACATTTACAGGAGGATCCAAGGATGGTGGCACAGTTGCTAGTGCCACTGTCATTGGGTCCGGAATAATATTTTCCAATCTCATTTAAATCAGATCTTAGTTCTCGCTATCGCTAAACAAGGATCTGAGGACATCCCATTACGGGTCACGTCAGAACGATCTTTCATCCGACCAATCAAAGCCTTGCTTACCAGATCATGAAAGTGACAGTCGGAATGCGTTTTCGAATCATGCAACCTTAAAAAAATGTAAACACGGGATATTCCGAACGACGGTTACGGCCCGTACGACTGATTCTGTCAAATGACTCTCGCTTCCGTGGGATAAACATTTGAATGGAGGAGGCGTTGCAAAGTACGCGGAAAGCACTGCCATACAATCGCAACCATATATAAGACATTCAGGATTGTTCGTTTGTTCTGTTTTCAAAATTTTAATCGAGAACTGTGTCAACATATTTTTCAAGCGTAGTCAGAAGTCGCCAGGTTGATACGAGTGCCGTAAAGCTCGAGAAAGTTGCTTTCTCATTGGCAGATGTCGACTTCTTGTTATTCGTTTCAGTGGTCGGTCAAAGTTCGCGAAAGGTCGTTCTGACGTGACCAATAATGGTATGTCCTCAGATCTTTGTTTAGCGGCAGCGAAAACTCAGATCTGATTTTAATGAGATTGAATATCTTCAAGATTACCAGATAATAGGCCCATATTCACAGCAGAAGCAAATGCTATTTTTAAGAGCTCTAAAATATATCAATAACCAATCCAAATAGAAACAGTGCATAATGTTTTCAGATTCTCTTTCGTGCCTTATGCTATTAAAAATATGTCCTGTAAAAATCCTCTTTTATTTGATTTAAAAACAATATGTATTTAATGATCTTGTTACTGGCCAATATGACATCGTCTTTTGTTGGTTACCTAGTCATGTTGGAATCATTAGTAACACAATGGCTAATGCTTCTGCAAAAGCAGCACTCAACAAATCTGTGATATCACTTCTGATCCCATACATTGGCTATACATCTATAATCATGAGATATCTAGTACAAAAGAAGTGGGGCACCCACGTAGATATTAAGACATTACATGGAATTAAACCCTCTACTGGGTTACACCCACTTGGGCTGTCAGTCAAGAGTTCAAGACGTCATAACGTGATGATGGTCATAGCAGATATAAACATGAATATTTATTGAAAGATGGGGATCCTCCGTTTTGTATCCCTTATGGTTCTACTACACCAAATCAGAACCAGTTAGGACAGTGCAGCTTTTGTGCATAACGAGAGATATCCGCAGGCTGTGATTGGAGGATATTCTGTAAGATTTTCATGTCTTTTAAATGTACATCCATCCAGTTATTAAAACTGACCATGTTTTTCTATATTTATAACTGTTTTTTCAACATGATGACTTATGCTGAATGTGACCACAGCTATTTTCAAGTAGGTGACATTTGGTGCAAAACTGGGGGTGGTGTGTTTAGCTTCCTGTACTCGGAAAAGGCGCTGGCTAAGCTGGTCATTTTTTTATGTTTTTATTGCTGCTCTAAGGCCAAACTGTGCACACACGTACAGGTAATAGCTGTTGAATGCTTAGTTATTTAACAAAAATTATAACATTACTTTAGAAGTCTATAGGAAAACATTTGGTTGTCTGTAAACTTATGATTAACGAATCACGGTCAAGCATGTCCTTCTTGACTGTATTGATTTTTTTCCATCACAAGGGATACATATTTCATTATAAAACGTCCACGAACCTTTCCAGTAATGTTATTTCTCATTTATATTGTGCTTTTTAAGGGAAATGGAATTGATTCATAAATGTTGATTTAAAAAGTGTATTATTATATTTATTGGAGCTGCTAAATAGTAACTTAGATGGTTAGTGTCCCCCCAACTTATAAAAGTAAAAGTAGTATATTTGTCATTTTACATTGATGGCTAAAACTGCATACATCACCAGCAACTGAAGGAAAGGTATAAATCCTGCTGCGGAACCGAGCAGGACGAGGAGGTTTCGTAAGTCCCCACGGTCCCTAGTATGGTGGCCTGACTTTGGTTGCTGGCGATCTATAGCCAATTTTATTTTGTGTTTTTGGAAAATACCTTCTTCTTTTAAATGAGGATATATACATATATCGTCACGATATGACTGAAATATTGATGCGACGTTAACGTTTAACTCACTCACTCACTCAATCAAATTATCAACAGTAAATTATTAAGTGATCAAGAGTGGTATGGAAAGATCACCTGAGTATGAGAAGATATTCCAGCAATTAACTATTCGGCAAGATAATTCAGTGCAGATGGACCAGACAACATGGTAACATATTACAAAGTCCGAGCTCTTGGCATGAACCATTTTGGATGAGCTACGAAGGCTCTGGTGTCCAACTTGACAATTTACATGGGCCGGTAATATTGATGGAGAAAAGTGTCTTTGCCCTCAATAAAGTTTGCAATGTGTTATGGTTTTAACATACCCCTTTGTCCCAGTCTGCTCCAAACACCCCCAGTGAGATGACATCTCCGGCCGCGCACAGGATACAGGGAGGTTCCGACTCATTGGCAGACAACAGGTGCTGCAGTACGGATGGTTCGATGACAAATATAGGAATACCATGATGTAAGCACTTGCTGGCGAATGTGTTAAGCAGTTCCTGTTTTAATAAATTGATGAAACTCAATCACAGGGTAAGAAAAAACAACGTTACAAACTTTGTCTCAGTATGTTAACTTGTTGCATACTAAAGCAATAGAATTACTGACTTTCTTTTTTCTTTCTCCAGCTTTAGTAGTGTAGTATGGGCATCTTGAAAGCTTTTTTTCTTTTTTCTTTTGTTTGCTTTCATTACCATGGATACTAACCTCGCTTTTACAACAAACCCTCCATATGCGCGTGGTCCAGGACTTCTGATTTTGAATATTCATAAGATGATGGAACCAATACCTGTAGTTTAATCCCCCTACTCTTTTGAAAGGCAAATCAAGAATAATTTTCAAACAACCTTTTGTTGAAAAAGATCTTGGAATCCATGCAAGACATAGGGATTTAAACATATTTTTCAATTTAAATATTGATGCTTCTCAATTATCACTCGAGTTTATTTAAGTAGTTATTTTAACCCTTTCTCGTTTATAATTCCAAGTAATCTTAGTGATTCAGCATTAATTTCCTTTCTTATTGAGTATAGTACATGCATCCTACTACTTTCGATATATTAATCAAGAGCAGCCTTTTCCTTTAGAAAGTAAAGCCCTCCGTATATTGTTAGATTTCTAGATGGCCATATTTACGGTCTTAGATTTTCTGCAGCCAAGGTATTATTATTTCGAATTTGATCATAATATTCAAAAGCTTTTTCAACTGATTTCATATATCTAAGAGTTAAGTTGGTATCTTGGCAAAATAGATCCTTTTATTTCTTTATTACCTATACAAATCCTCGTATATCATTAATGTTCGATAATTTTATATTGAAGGCTTCTAATCATGTAATAAAAATATATGGGCTTGAGGTACAGCCTTGCCTACCTCATACAACTGAAAGAATATATTGTGTAGAACTACCTTTATTAATAACACAACTTTCTGGGGAAAAATAACAAATAGAAAACCAAATTACACATCTTCCGTCCAATTTGAACTTTTCAAAACATTTTTCCCTAAAATCAAAAGCCTATTGAAAATCTGAAGACACAATAATACCTTTTTCAGAATCATCGTACATTTCCAACAGATCTGACAAACATCTAATATCCTCCCTAATATATCTGCCTTTAATGAACCCAATTTGAGAGGATGAACTGGCAAGAGAGACTTTAGTCTCTTTCTTGTTTCTCTCTATTTGTAACAGCTTTGCAATTATTGTATAATATGCATTTTACAATGTAATTGGTCTCTTGTTTTCAATCATTGACGTGTCTTTTCCGTGTTTATCTAAAAGTGTAATAATTCCTCTTTTGAGATATTGTTAACTTATATGTTTGGAAGAAATGGTTGACATAATTCAAGAAAGGCTTTTTGAGATTTCCTCAAAAAAGGTAGAGAAAACACTGCACACAACCCTTGCCATCCTGGGGACTTGTTACTTTTAATGTTACACAATGAATGTCGTAAATCCTTTTCTGTTAGATTAAATTCCAAACATTCCTTTTGCACCTCAGTCATTTGCCAATTCAGTTTCTGTTGTGAATGTTGATCTTTATAGAATATATGAAGTTGGTGGAGCATTTCAATTGATATTTCATCCGCTTTTGAGTTTTTATTTGTGGTATCTTTACTTTTTCTTTGTGACATTCTTCTAAATTATTCAAATATATTTTTTATACACTTTTCACCTTCTTAAACAATTACTTCTCGTTCTAATAAAATAAACTTTTGCCTTTAAATAATATATATCTTCTGATTTATTTTGTGCTTTACATATTGCTGCTGTAGTGTTTCATCTCTACTTCGTACATTTACCTGTTCGGTGTCATGAACTGACAGTTGTTTAGTCACTTCTCTTTCATTCCAATGTCTAGCTTTTATTTTCTCTTTAGATTAAGTCATTGAAATTTGCATTATGTTATACTTTATTCATTCCCATTCAGCATGTGGGAACAAGGAGAATAACTGTTTCAACTATATCCTGTTTACCCAAACCAAGGTTGTTGTAACTTCAAAAAGTTCGAAATGGTTATAGTTTAAATAATCGCTCTCTGTCTTTGTGTCTCGTCGACGAGAGAGACTGGCTTACCCAATCTGTTTAAGTTTTCTATTGTTTTGTTTTTTTCAAATTCAAGTTAGTAGATATAAAGACTGTAAGATTTCTTTCAATTGTTCGCCTCGCATTTCGTCAAGACCATAGAAGAGTAGATTGAATGGTAACTGATAGCGTTCGTGCCCCAGAACCTCATTTTCTATTCTGGTTAATCGAGTTTCCATTACTGCAAGTTTTCCTTATGTAGAGTTGACGCCTCTTCGAAGAGGACCTGTGTTCTGATTTAAGTTATGGCATTATTTGTTGTACTCGCGGGACATCAATTCTCTGATTTTTTCTGTACCTTCAGGACCCTTGTTTTCAGCGTGATATCGTCTGAGCCAGTGTCTGGGCCATGCTTGTTGTCGTCCGCTATGTTGGTTGAATCGATCTTTCTCTTTTATAGTTCCAATTGTCTCTGTTCATCAGGGTTTTTTTCGGAGTACTGGTCTGATTACCAGGGGGATCACATAGTTTGTGGCTGTGCTCCGCCATTATTTGGCTTAGTTTTGAACTTATTTTACCAGCCCGCAGCGCGCACTGTTTTCAGACCTTGCACAATATACGGGTCTATTGTGGTTATGTGTGTCAACGTTATGAGTGTACTGCCGCTCACATGGTCTCGCATTTACATTTAATGAATCTAATGTGATATAGAAACTATATACTGATCAGGAACATGAATATTGCTGAAATTACTTCATCGTATTGATTGGCCAGTACTCGCCAATTGTACCATTTTTTTTATTCTTTGTGAAGCAACCTTTATCATACAGTTACGAAAACGATGTCTTCATTCAAATATTTTGAGAAACTGTTTGCCTGATGTCTTAATCCTTCTGGTGGCACTGGGTAACACAAGCACTCGTCTGAGGCTCCGCCAAATGGTGTCTCTTATCATGATGGTGGGGTTTTCAGCACGAAATCATTCTTGATCTCGCGGAAGAGGTTAATTTATAAGTGTATTTGGTTGTTTGTTGTTTAACGCCGCACTCAGCAATATGCCATCCAGATGATGACGGTCTGTAAATAATCGTGTCTGGACCAGACAATCAAGTGACTGACGTCCATGAGCATCGGTCTACGCAATTGGGATACGATAACATGCATCAACCTAAGTGCTTGTTTCGTGAGACGCTTGACACATTTGAGTAATTTCTGGACAGCACACTGTCGTAATATCGTGAGAATATGTGACCCCCTTCGATGTATGAGTATATGTTTGTAATAATGAACTTAAGTCAATATTTGTGTTTGTGTGATCTACTCATTCACAGTTTGCTAAACAATGCATATTTAATTATATAAGCCCTTCATATCAAACACGATCAGTGAGCAACGTTACCTAGCTTAGTGTAAGGCTCACTTAAACAAGTGTCAAAATATTTTTAAAGAGCAGCAAAGCACTATTAATGTGAGCTGAATATTATATACTCACCCGCAAAAGATTCGTCACCCCATGTAACATTGCATGAAAAGTTGTCATTTAAATATCTAGGTTATTTTTGTCAAAGTTTCTAAAACTTAACATTACCTTGTGCAGAAAAAATAAATTTGATGATAAAATAACAGAGCAGATGACAATAAAACCGATCGCCCATACGCATCACGGCAACGGCCATGGTAATCCGATGCACGTGAGTTCCGTGCAAATTGAAATACACATGCGTTCCCCAGTTCTTGCCCTATAAAAATCCAGCCAGATCGGATAACATTCATTCGTTATTGAATTCCTACCACATGCCAAGATTGGCAAGAAATCAGCGACACCAAGCCCTTGGATGATTACAAGCTGGACAAACGGGCCGGCAAGTAGCCAACGCATTTCAAGTCCACATAAGGACCATATACAGGCTCCAGCAACGGTACTAGACCACCAACACTACAGGTGACCGACCACGTAGTGGAAGACCAAGGTTCACCAACCGACGTCAGGATCGTCAGATTGTGTGACAGCATCTTCAAGATCGCTTTGTTACTGCTGTGGAAATTGCTCGACAGACCATGGGGACACACCAGTGACACATTAGTGCATCGACGATTGACGAGCAGACACCTCCACTGTCACAGTCTTCAGTGGGCAACACAGCACCAGCATTGGCGCCGACAGCATTGGAGGAGAATCCTCTCCTCAGACGAGAGCAGTCACTGTATCTCATCAGCAGATGGCAGAGAGAGAGTCTGGCGACGCCGTGGGGAACGTTATTCGGATGCTTGTGTTGTTGAGAGAGACTCTAGGGGTGGTCAGAGCATCATGGTGTGGGGTGGAATTGATCTTGCACTGAGGGTCGGCCCTGTGGTCTTCCAGAACATCAGTCCAGGGAGAGGCAATGGTGTCACAGTAGCTCGCTACATTGATAAAGTCTTGAGACCACACGCCATACCTCATTTGGCACTTCGCTGCAACCACGAGTTTCAGCATGCTAACGCCCGTGCCCACACTGCGAGAGCAAAAAGAGACTTCCTCCAGCGGAATGGTATCAGAACCATGCATTGGCCTGCCCTCAGTCCCGATATAAATCCCATTGAGCACATGTTGGACGAGATTCAAAGACGGCTGAATGACGTCCGACCAAGGCCGACAACTGCAGCTGAACTGCGACAGGCGTTCTTTAGAGTGTGGGCTCAAGTGCCTATAGGCCTCATCAACCGCCTCATCCATTCCATGTATCGGAGTTACACGGCAGTCATCAATGCACATGGCGGACACACGAGATACTGACTTGTGATGCCATTTTCTCAGAGACTTGTGTTGTGTTTCACTTTAAGAATATTTGACACTTTAATTTCAACCTTGATGATCAGTTTGGCCAAGTTTCATCAAGTGAGAAGAGCCTGGCTGTAAATTGGCTTGGTAATTTTTATCCTATTGATCTCAGACGTCAGTATAATATGTTTATTTTTATGTTAACGCAATTCACAAAACTGTGACAAATACTGGAAATTCCTGAGTGCTTAGGTATTTATCGCTGTAAGCACATATTAGAGACATTGTGTTGACTTTTGTGATTGTAACACTAATCCTGTCTATTCAGTATAATTTATGTATTGTTCATTGATCTTGTGTGTGTTTTTTTAATGATTTGACAATGTAGAACTATACGTACCAATTTCTGTGTTGCAATTTGGGAATCAGCACGCAACGGCAACCCGGGGCTCGCTCGGGATCTGAACTCAATTTGCTGAAAACAAAACATTTTCGGTGGGAAATTTGTCAGTGTTCAGTGTATCTTCATATCATTGGAAGGGGTTATTGTGGAATCAGTAACTATAACATAAAGCTTGAGACATTTTTTTTATTCCTATAATTATGTTGGTAGATTCGCTCATGTGCTTGCGTGTATGGATGGCACACTCATACCAATATTGTGAGCCACAGAATCAGGATATATAAGCGTTCACTCGGACTATGTTCCAAACCAAAAGAAAATAATAACCCGCTGCACACAAATAAACAATGCCTTTTTCATTTTGAAACTACAAATCAAGTGTTGTAT